ACTACAAAAATGGTGCAAAAATAAAAAACACGATTCGCGCGCTTCGTGAACATTTCGGTCGCAACAACCGCCCAAACGAAACAACCATCGGTCGTCTGGTGCGTAAATTCGAGGCAACAGGTTCTGCCAGGCTCTGGCCGGCCAAGGAGCGTTCGCACACCGGAAAATATTACTGTCGTGAAGGAGAGTGTGAGAGACGATCCGAAACAATCAACAACGCGTCGATCCCAAGAATTGGGCATTTCGAGAACCAGTCTGCTCCGCATTCTCCACAAGGATTTGAATGTACACGCCTACAAGATCCAATTGACGCAAGAGCTGCGTCGGGCCGACCATTTTTCGCGCTGAACGTTCTCAGATTGGCTCCTTGAACACCGCCAAATTGATGCCAATTTTTCATCAAAAATCATGTTACGCGGCGAAGCGCATTTCACTTTGAATGGGACGGTAAACAAGCAAAACTGCCGCATCTGGGCGAACGAAAATCCCCGTGAGTATCAAGAGCAGCCGATGCATCCTCAAAAAGTGACTGTGTGGTGTGCATTGTGGTCAAAAGGCATCATCGGACCTTACTTTTTCGAAAATGCGGCCGGGGACGCCATTACCGTCAATTCTGAGCGATATCACGTGATGATAGAGGACTATTTTTTGCCGCAACTTGAAGGAATGGATATGGACGATGTTTATTTCCAACAAGACGGTGTAACATGCCACACAACCAACGTCAATATCCATCGATTGGAGGAAATGTGTCATGGCCATCAAGATCGTGCGATTTGACTCCCTTGGACTTCTTTTTAGGGGGATATTTGAAAAGCAAAGTCTACGTCAACAAACCAGCCACCCCCCAAGAACTCAAAAACAACATCATTGCCGAGATAAATGCCATAGAACCGACCATGTTGCAAAATGTCATTGAAAATTTCGACCATCGCGTGGACGTCTGTAAATCCAGTCATGGTGAACATTTGAGCTATATTATTTTTAATACATAAATGGTATAAATGAACCTTCAAAATAAAGTACCCAACTTGATTTGAATATCAATCTTTCTTGTTTTAATATGCGTTTACTTTCCTGCGTCCCTTTTGGACAACCCCATATATAAAATTTGTGATATATTTGTGATATACTGTAGCAGTTGAATCTAACACACGTAACCTACAATCTGCAACCCTCAGAGCAATTCGGTGCAACTGGTTTCCTAAATTCAGTTTATTTATGTAATTCGAGAAGGCAAACACATTATTATTATTCATTGTTTATTGATATTAAGCACCAATAGAAAAGAGTCAAAAAGCTGAATAGATACGACCAACAAAGGAAAATATTTCAGTCTTACAGCCTATTGAGAAATTTGAATTAATTATCGTCAGTCGTCCCTACAATTTATTGTAGTACACCTTTATGGCCTCCTTGATTCTCACAGTGTTTGTTCTCCTTCAGAAAGGCTGGGGTATTTCTAGATTTCTACTGTTCCGTGTCAGCGTCAGTGCTTTCCTATTGTGAGGCTGTTTTCTTCTTGAATCTTAGGAAATTTCAGGTTGATATAATAGATCATATAAATCATGAAAAATTTGATGCAAATAGATATTTGTAACATAACCTTAAAACAGAGAACTGACACGGAACAACAGAAAACTATGAAGATCGAGGAGGCCATAAAGGCGTCCTACAATTGTAGGAACGACTGACGATACAACCCTAAATCCCTTCAATGTTCCCAGAGCAAGCGTCAGTGTTTCCAAGGAGATATCCGATATCCATTGTTTCCCAGCAAGGGAATGTCTATAAGTCTGACTCTGGGTTACAGGCGAGTCAAAGTAGATCGTTGATTTATGTCATTACAGCACAAAATTCTATTTAATATTATCACGGCCACGGTTTACGAGAATATACTATTACCCTATGATCACATACAAAAAAATATTGCAACAGGCATTTAGACCCTGAACACACGTAAATTCTTGGTAATTAAGAATGAGTGATTCCAGATACGAAATCTATTTCGGTGTCTGGGCAATCGATAATGAGTAATGCAAAGAGAGATTTTCTTTTGGATAACGACAAGTGCTAATAAATATCTGGCTAGCTGTACAGAAATACAGGTTGTCCTATATAGAACTGCGGCTAACGATTATTCAAAAAGTTAGAATTAGAAAATTTGGTGTCACAGTATAACTAATGATAGCAATTCGGCTACAATAGTTTCAAAATGCTTACACTTCCGGAAGTAGATACCAACTAGGTTATTTTAAATAGCACACCCAGTATATTATTAAATTTTCAGATTCTATTCGGAAATCTAAATATATTTCATATACATATATAATCCTGTGTCTAAGCCTGTTTTTGAGATATCTAAGGCTTAATGTAAGAAATGATAAATACAGGCCAATAAATTGTAACAGAGATCAAAAGAGAGATAATGAAAATTAGATTTTTGAAAACCCAAAAGTCAACTTTTCAAAATAGAAAGAATTTTTTATAACTTTATCCAAATTAATAGTTTTAGAGATACATTGGTTTTTCTAATGATTGATCCACATCGCTTTTACCATAAAATAATTTCACTTGGCCATGGCTGAAATCGGACGAACTGTTAAGGATATCACGCTGTCGACATATCATCGGTAACTGAGATTAACTGATCGAAAAATCCACATGGAATATTTAAGAAAGAAAAATACTACATTTTCATGTATCTCTATACTATACTAAGTGACATATAAATCCGAACACCCAGTTTAAATGGTTTTATTTTAATAAAAGTTGGTGAATGTATTTATCTTACTGTAAATAACAAGTGAAAAATTTTTCAGCCTTATCAGTTGGACATTCCGGTTTTTATACTGCTTTTTTTTTAATTCACTAACGCTCTAAAAATGAATATTTCAGCCGCAGTAAAGAATCAACGTTGGCGGATTTTGGTTCTTGACATCCTATACGATCGGTTACGATGCCTAGAGTACGGAGACCTGTACGATTTCGTCAACTTAGTGAGTTTGATAGGGGCCGTATAGTGGGACTTCGGGAAGCTGGACTTTCTTTTCGGGCAATTGCAGTTAGAATGCAAAGAAGTGTAAGATACTGTGGTTAGGTGTTGTCAGGCATGGCTTCGAGAAGGCCGTACGCAAAGAGCAAGGGGCACTGGACGCCGCCGTAGAACAACAGACCGTGAAGATCGCCGCCTAAGATTATTGGCCTTAAGGGACCGTTTCTCCTCTACCAGGTCCATTGCAAATGAATGGTTTGCAGAACACGGAAGACCTATTGGCATGCGAAGTGTTTACCGACGAATGAGAAGTTTTGGCTTGTTTTCATACCGGCCACACTGGGTCCTCCCTTTAACTCGAGAACACCGACGTAATCGCCTTGAGTGGTGCAGACAACGGTCACTCTGGGATCAGGAATGGAACAGTATTGTCTTTAGTGACGAGTCTCGATTTTGTTTAGGCATGCACGATGGTCGTGCCAGGGTTAGAAGGCGACGTGGTGAAAGGATGAATCCACAGTTTTTTGTTGAAAGACATGTTCATCACACTGTTGGAGTTATGGTTTGGGGTGCTATAGCTTATGGTTTCAGGTCACCTTTAATCTTCATCAGAGGTAAGATGAACGCGCAGCGTTATATCCACGAAGTTCTAGAACCCCATCTTTTACCCTATCTTGACAACCTGACATATCCAACTTTCCAACAAGATAATGCCCCACCACATATTGCAAGAGTCACAATAGACTTCTTTCAACATAATGATGTCACATTGTTACCATTGCCACCAAGATCTCCCGACTTATCCCCAATTGAGGGATATGATGGGTAGGAGATTGCTCAATTTGCAACGTCCTCCTCAGACTCTAGAAGCACTTCGAGAGGAGTTGGTGGTTGCCTGGAATGAGATACCACAGGAGGACATTGACCACCTGATCAGAAGCATGCCTAGGCGCGTTGGAGAATGCTTAGCACATCAGGGTGCATCCACACATTATTAAAGGTCAAAGGGCTTTAAAGCAGTGCAATCATTTTGAAATTTTGATCATTTACTTATTATGCTTCATTAAGTACTTATACAAAATTTTATTAAAATAAAACCATTTAATCTGGGTGTTCGGATTTATATGTCGCTTAGTATAATTTGTGAAGTAGACTACCTTATAAAAAATTATAAGCACGTGTTCAATGCTATATAAAAATTGGTTTCCACTTGAACAACTAGACTGTTTATGTGTTTTAGAATCTAATTTCCATTCTCTTTCTTTTGACCACCCTAAACTATTTTTTATCTAAATCTTGAATAAAATTGCTAAAGTGGGTCCCCTGTTAAAGGAAACTAATCATATAGCAAGAGCAAAAATACGATAAAACATTGTTATAATTAATAAGCATTTGCCATTTCTTAAGCAAAATTTGGAGAATCTTAGCCCTCTGTGGTTCTGCGTAGCTTTGAACCCTTTTTCCAAGCAACTTAATAGAACAGGAGTAGGGTACACTCTAAATGGGTGACCCCAAATTATACGGATCATCACATGATAAGCTCAGAGGTCGTATTGATAAAAAAAATTCCAAAACCTTAAAAATGGTTAGACTTAGGTATAAAATGATAGGCATGAAGTTTATTTAGAAACTCGCACAGAATCCAAAAAATATTATACACACACACACACTTTAAAATAAGTGAGTTGATATCTACCTTCCGTATAACCGGAAGCGTCACAATTTTGAAAATATTATAGCAGAATTGCTCTCATCAGTTATTCTACAAACTCCAGTTTTCATAACTGTGTTACATCTATTTTTTTAGTAATCCATCGCTGCAGTTCTACATGGGACACCCTGTATTTTTTTGTTGGTTGGACTTACTTATCTCACATTCCGAATTAACCAACGATTTACGTGTGCTGTGGCTCTTCAAGACCACCCTAGATACATTTGGGAGGTTATTGTATTAGTATATATTAACACATAAGCAAACTATTTTGTGCCACATAGCACCAAGTACTTACTCGACATTTACTCCTGTTTCTTGGCCTGTCTGAGGTCTGCATTCTACCCGGGAGAACAGCGTTATCTGAATCTGGAAACGAACGAAAAAATCATCTTAGTTTGTTCCAGTAGTCAATATGAGGATTCAAGAAGGGTAGGCCTAGATATTTCGAGATGAATATATGTACACTTTTTAAGCAAATCAACTTTTGCCTGTTAGTGTACATAAGCGAACACGCATATACGCTTATAGGTATGTATGTAAATATTGGTATTATATGTGACAGTGCCATCTAACGGACTAAGAATTTACATACAAGAAATATTTATATGCTTTTTCGCCAAGATTTTTTAGTATGCAGAAAGATAAGCTCGGTATAATTGATGGTTTTAGACTGGTGTTCGGAGGAAGGCTTGAATTTCGAGTCTACAGATTAAGGAAATTGTTGTAAACTGGTTGTCCCTTCTGGTTTTTGTTACTTTTTGTACCGTTTCCTAGCATTAAAAATAAAATCCCAGAAAGGCTACAACAGCGGAGCCTTGATATCTCTTTCATATATATATAAGTAATATAAGTAATATTTATTTGTCTCCAAAATACACAACCATTACACATAGAAATTATATAGAGGACAAATAGATGAAGAGCCCGCAGAAGGGTGGCCCTTGTGCGCGGGTAAAGGAAAATAGAAAATACTTATATACTAACAATGACGTAACACAATAAAATTCTTTTTTTTATTCTAATTAATAAATGAGTGATGTATATGGATTTGAGTGAAATTCCATATACATCATGTAAGTGAAGTATTGATTGTACTCATAGAATATGGTGTATCAGAGGAAGTACTAACCACTAAAGGATAACCTGTGCGTGGCCATTACATCCAACTGAACCAAAACTAAACTTAAGGATTTTAAAATACAACACTACAGATAATTTAAAATGGGCCGCTAAGGCTTAATGACTTAACTAAACTAGCGGCTGATTTATCTATGACTATTTTTTCGGCCGCTTCACAGACCGCTGATTCTAAATAGATCTACACTAAGTATAATATATGAAGGCTTAAAAAGTACTGCGTAGGAAATGGAAAATTTAATCTGAGCATGACCTACAACTTACAATGTATAGCTCGTGCCTTCTATGTACATATGGATTTTAACTCTTGGGACCACGTGCATTCAGGCTTTTATTTGTATTTTAAATGAGTTTAAATTATTTACTTTTTTGTAAGACACTGGGATGGTATTGAAAATTCTTGGACAGATTAAAATCCAGGACCTTTGTATGAGTGTTTTCTACGGCTTTGGGACTACATTCTGAGACAGCATTTTTTGACGGGTGCCATAGCAGTGTTCAATTTGCCTCAATGAGGACCGATTTTTGTACTGAAAAGTAATGAGATTGTACATATATAACTGTCTGACGTCAAAAACATTAGCCTCAGCAAACAACTCGTTTTAGGGATATGTCTTTCTTTTTTTGTATATCAGTTTAAGTATGTATTTTTGTACGCATCCAATGACACCATAGTTTAAATGAGACTGAACAAGTGCAAAATATATTTCTTTTAAAGATTTCTCAGTCAGTAATCCTGTTAGATGCTTAAATTTTGGTAACAGCATTCTAATTTTTTTCACGGTGTATTCTATATGCTTCGTCCATTTCAAGTTTTCATCGATGATAATACCTAGATATTTTATGTCACTGGTCCGTTTGATAGTTATTGTGTTATTAGAACTTAGATTAATGTTTAGCGTGTCGTAGTCTGGCAAGTGATTTTTGTAGGAAGCAAAGGGGACAAAGTTGGTTTTTGCGATATTCACGGTCAAAAGTTTACTGTTATAAAATTCAGGAATAGTTTTAAGATCATCCTCATTGTTCCTTTGCTGTCCAATGAGAAAAGGTCATTTATGTAGATATTGAACAGTACTGGTCCTAAAACCGTCCCTTGGAGGACGCCATATTGTACTACCCCATAATCACTTGTTAGATCGCTGATTCTAACACACTGTTTACGTTCTGATAGATAGCTAGTCATTAGTCGTAAGGTATTTCCCCTAATACCGTTATTTTCGAGTGATTCCAACAGCTTAGCGTGACTTACCGTGTCAAATGCCTTGGTAGGTCCACAAATAAGCATACTGTTGGAATTTTTCCATCTATTAATTTGTATAGTTTCTTAGTTAAAGCCGCTATAGCATCCTATGTAGAAATATATATATACACAGGTATATATAATAATTTTTAATCTGTCTTTAACTTGTCTTGTCATATTTTATATAATTTTAACCATTGTACCATGTATCCAGCTCTCACCATGTTACTGGACGTTTCCCTCATCCTATACGAAAACAACAATTAGCAACATTCTCACATACTACTGTAAGTTGATTCAATTTAAATTCATTTTACACTTTTGTTGCTACTGTTATCATTGTAATTGCAGTTCCTGATGATGATGGCAAAGTCCATTGAAAGCAAGAGAGAATTAAAAAAAGTATAAAGAATCCTCTTTGCTTAAATTTTGTCGAAGTACCCAACAAAAGGCGGAAGCTTTAATTTTTCACCTAACTGGTCTAGACGACAATGACCACGTCTCAAGTTATATATATATATATGCTAGCAAAGAAAACAGGACATTTAAATTGTCAGACAACTTACTCGTCGGTGAGGTTGCAGCCACAAGGTGTTTCAAAACGAACGTAGAGAAGATTGAACTTGTAATCAGTATAGAAACAAAAGGACGGGGACATTGGGCTTGTTGAAAAACGACAGATACCTTCATTACATGTTAAAAATATCAATCCACCCGAACAAATTAAAAAGTATTACACGTGAGAAGACATTTTGGTGAAACAATCGGAATGCAGTCTCTAACCTTCTACTTCCGCTACAGGTGGAGAGGGGGACGGCACGGAAAGATAAAGCGTCGACAGATGACAAGTGATTGACGCGACGGACCGTGGAACTGTAAACCTCCTTGTCCAACTTTGGGTATTAAGTATACGAGGGACGCTCGGTAAACCTCTACCGAAAATTACTAAAATGCTGAATTAACTTGTTTTGGAAAAAAGTGTGTCTTCTCACGTGTAATACTTTTTAAGTTGTTCGGGTGGATTGATTTTTTTAATATGTAACGATGGTATCTGTCGTTTTTCAACAAGCCCAATGTCCCCGTCCTTTTGTTTTTATACTGATTACAAGTTCGATCTTCTCTACGTTCGTTTTGAAACACCTTGTGGCTGCAACCTCGCCGACAAGTAAGTTGTCTGACAATTTAAATCTGTCCTGTTTTCTTTGCTAGCATCACAATTGTGTTTTCAGAATCCTGATGAAGGCTCCATAGAGTCAACTTAAGCCTAAAAAAATTTCCCAATTAACAATTAATTGTATTTTGTGCCCTATATATATATATATATAACTTGAGACGTGGTCATTGTCGTCTAGACCAGTTAGGTGAAAAATTAAAGCTTCCGCCTTTTGTTGGGTACTTAGACAAAATTTAAGCAAAAAGGACTCTTTATACTTTTTTAATTCTCTCTAGCTTTCAATGGACTTTGCCATCATCATCAGGAGCTGCAATTACAATGATAACAGTAGCAACAAAAGTGTAAAATAAATTTAAATTGACTCAACTTACAGTAGTGAGGATGTTGCTAATTGTTGTTTACGTATAGGATGAGGGAAACGTCCAGTAACATGGTGAGAGCTGGATACATGGTACAATGGTCAAAATTATATAAAATATGACAAGAACAAGTTAAAAACAGATTAAAAATTATTTAAAAACATTAGAGCATTACATCGTGAAGCCACTTGATGATTGCACAAAATGGTGGTCATGGAATAATGAGTGAGATGAACCTTTGACAGAAGGCCGAAGGTTGTCAATGTCTGTGTTGAAAGGTAGAACGAATTGTGGGCGTGTTCCAAAACGTTGCCAAATCACTTCAGATGATGTGATTTTCAGAATGTTATGTAAGAAATTGTTAAACCGACCAGAGGCAGTTGAATAAACTATATTTTAATTAATGGGAATTTAAATTAACAAAAAGACAGATGTTAAACAACTGAGTGTCATTTACTCATATTTGCTAAACTGCGAAAAATTGGAGAACTTACATATCTCCCAAAATTTCGACTCTTCACAACCATAAATAGAATCTATGTTTTGGCCGATTCCACCAGTAAATTTCATTCCACTCAAAATCTAATAATTCTCTTCTCACGATTTATTAATAATTGTTAATTTAAATTCCCATTAATTGAAATATAGTTTATTCAACTGCCTCTGGTCGGTTTAACAATTTCTTACATAACATTCTGAAAATCACATCATCTGAAGTGATTTGGCAACGTTGGCACACGCCCACAATTCGTTCCATCTTTCAACACAGACATTGACAACCTTCGGCCTTCTGTCAAAGGGTTCATCTCACTCATTACTCCATGACCACCATTTTGTGCAATCATCAAGTGGATTCACGATGTAATGCTTTAATGTTTTTTAAATAATTTTTAATCTGTTTTTAACTTGTTCTTGTCATATTTTATATAATTTTGACCATTGTACCATCTATCCAGCTCTCACCATGTTACTGGACGTTCCCCTCATCCTATACGTAAACAACAATTAGCAACATCCTCACATACTACTGCAAGTTGAGTCAATTTAAATTCATTTTGCACTATTGTTGCTACTGTTTATCATTGTAATTGCAGCTCCTGATGATGATGGCAAAGTCCATTGAAAGCTAGAGAGAATTAAAAAAAGTATAAAGAGTCCTCGTTGCTTAAATTTTGTCGAAGTACCCAACAAAAGGCGGAAGCTTTAATTTTTCACCTATATATATATATATATATATATATACGAGAGTTGATTTATAAATAGGGTCCTAAAAGGGCTCCAGCTATACTGAAAAATACGAGACGAAACCTGAGATCACCGCTGCGCGTGACTGTTTCCCACTCTTGATTCAAGGTTATTACGTAAAAAACCTATATAATGTCAAAAACGTCGGTAAAATGTCAAGTTGTTCACTAGGTAGCCACTAGTGTGTCGCTAGTTCAAGTGAATGTCAGCT